AGAAGTGAAGCTAGGTCATTGGTCTTTCCATTAACTGGTTCCCAGTTGTCAAGACTCTTTGTGTCATGTGCCCCTAGCAATGTAGGAGCAATAGCAGAGCAGCAACGCTTTAAGAATTTCACAAAGGTTAGATTCCAGGCTCTGTCTATGTAAAGTCACTTATGAATTGTGTATTGGCTTTCTGGTGTGGAAGGAAAAGTGGTGGGGAGTACTTCAGCTCCTAAGGAATTATGTCCATCTAGGGCCTACCTTACCTGTGTTGTGGTGTCCAGTGTGGGAATAAGACTCAGATGAAGAGACAAGGGAGGTGCTGTAGTTTGTATTTTAAATGTGTTTCTCTATCCTAGACCAATGTGCTTAAGGTTTAAGTTACCACTGTGGCTTCAGGGAGGTGGGAAAGTGTAAATGGAGGCAGCACATTTATTTCCTGGCCACCAAGACCTGAATAATCACACAGAAATTGTATTAATTACAACACTGCTCAGTCAATGGGCTCAGGCATATTCCTAGCTAGCCCATACATCTTAAATTAACCCATTTCTATTAATCTATGTATTGCCACGAGGCTGTAGTCTACTGGTAAGGTTCCATGGCATCTTTCTCCTTCGGCAGCTATATGGCTTCTCTTTGACTCTGCTTACCCTCTTTCCATATCTCTGTTCAGATTTCCCACCTGACTTTACTCTGCTAAGTCATTGGCCAAAACAGCTTTATTCATTAGTCAGTAAAAGCAACACATATACAGAAAGACATCCCATATCATCTCCCCTTTTCTGTCTAATTAAAAAGGAAGGTTTTAACTTTAACATAGTAAGATTACATATAACAAAACATATATCAAGCAAGAATTACAGTTACAATATTTCTTTGTGAGTCTAATGTTTCATATCTAATTTATGTTTTATCATAACTAAGGGAAAATATAGCCATCTGTCTTCAACTCTAACAAAGACTCCAGAAGGATATAATAATACCTAAGTAAACAGGAAGTACATTGTAAGCAACTTCCAAAACTCTAAAATGACAGAGATATCTTGCTGCCTGGACAGTCACCCAAAGTTATTCTGTAATGTCGGGGCATCCATTTTCAGCCTACAGGCCCATAGTATCCAGCAGACTTTTCTATGAAGCAGGAAATTTGAAAGACTGTTTTGCCTATATTGGCAGTTTGTCAGTCACTTTCTTCTATCCTCCAGAATATCTGGCAGACTCTTTTATAAAGTAGAAACCTTGAAGGACTATCTGATCTAACTTTCTTTTGGAAAGTTCAGCAGCTGTTTTTCTGTGGGTCTTGCATGTCCAGTTCATACAGCATACATACCATCAAGCAGTCCAGGCAAGAGCAGTTTCTTGTCCAAATGGCTAGCCTTGTCACATTAAAGGCAAGTTCTATAATGAGTTTCTTCATCAACCTCTCAGAAGTAATTAGCACTGCCAGAAGCAGACATGTCTCACTGTCAAGAAAAGTCTTAAGTTCTTAAAACATTTTAAATACCATATTCTTTAGGTATTTGAAAAGTTTGAAGAATATCTATCTATCTGAAATATATATATCTGTACATCTAGAAAACCTTACTAACATGATTACAAGTTTGACTATTATAAATTACTATTAATTCATAATTTTAAATTATACATTACATTTTTAAAGTGAGCTGTATAAACATAATACCTTAAACAAGAACAAGAGTAGAAATATACATATACACAGTATAACAAAATTGACTTTAAATTTGTATCAATAGACCAAGATCCATACTAATGCAAAGTATTCTCTATATCACTAACCATTTATATGCAACCCTGGTGTGGGAGAATTGTCTGTATTCTGTCAACCATATTTTAATAAAACACTGATTGGCCAGGCAGGCAGTATAGGCGGGAAAGCCAGACAGGAAGTAGGAGTGGAGCAAAGAGACTGGGAGTTTTCTGGGACACAGGAAGCTCTCTCGCCACTCCTGCACAGATCACTGAAGAGGCAGCATGTAACTTGCCCAGCTGAGAAAGGTACGGAGCAATGTGGCTAATGTAGATAAAGATAATGGGGTAACATAAGTTATAAGAGCTAATAAGTAGACAGAGCTAAGGGCCAATCAGCTTTATAACCTAATGTAGACTCCGTGTGATTTTCCTTGGGACTTGCTGGCTTGTTGGGGTACTGGGTGGGACAGAAACCCCAACTAGCCGGCCCTCATGTTACACAACCCCTTTTAAATGAAAACAAATGTTTATAAGTAATCATTTTGGGATTTTGGCATAGTTTTCTCCAAATTGCTTCTTGATGTTTGTTAGGGTTCACAGAGACCTTTCAGGGAGTCTTATTCCATCAAACTGTATTAGCCTGGAAGGAATTCACAGGTTCTCATCTTCTGTGGAAACAAAAGCAGAACCTCTTTTTCAAAGTAACATATCCTTAGATTCAAATTTTAAAGTCAAGGCACCTTTAAAATATGTATGTTGGTTTAGCCTAATAACCCAAACAATGAAATGTTTCTCTGTACTTATCTCATTCACAGTAAAAAAAAAAAAAAATCCAAAGAAAACACAATAGTATACATAACCCAGACTCTCTGTGTATATTCCATCTTTACATGGCTTATTTTTTTATTTTATTACTTTTCAATATTTATTTTGTTATCTTTATTCCTTTAATCTATGACTTTCTGTCTTTTTATAACTGTCTATACTCTTTTTCCTTTCTCTCCCAAGCCTATGTACATTTTTTAAACACACTGTCTCATTTAGAGGTCTTTTATGTCTTAATCTGCCCTGTTGTGTATCTGTATCATTTTCTGACCAGGAGTGCCTTTTTTATGCTAAACAGGCATGGCTAGGACCAACTCCACAGCCTTTCCTGTTGGTTCCACCCCATCCAACATAGTGGAGGTATGTTCACTGCCTCTGCGAGCCATACTCACTGCTCCAGCTCCAGGGGCACAGTGGGTCTATGTCACCATTAAACAGTTTATAGCATTCTGCGCACAAACCTCATTTAAGTGCTCTGTAACAGGACCTCTGAGCCATTCCTGCAGCCAGCATGACCCAGGGAGCTGACTCTTAAAGGAGCCATGCAGTTTTTGCTGCTAAATTGAGACAGGAAGCTTTCTCTTAAGGGAATCATTTTCCTCTGCTTGCCTCCAGCAAACAGAGCCCACCCAAGAAAATACTGCTACCAAGAAGTCGTGCTTAACTCTGGTGTGTGTGTGTGTGTGTGTGTGTGTGTGTGTGTGTGTGTGTGTGTGTCTAGAATTCCTTCTCAAACTCTCTCAGGTTTTATGTGGATGTAGTTGGCCCACATTGGTGCCATTTGTTGATGGAGACTGTGATTGTGTTTCCCAGTCACCCAGACCTGAATAATCACACAGAAACTGTACTAATTACAGCACTGTTTGGTTGATAACTCAGGTATATTCCTAGCTAGCTCTTACATCTTAAATTGACCCATTTCCATTCATCTATGTATTGCCACAAGGCTGTGGTTCGGGTGACATCTTTTTCCTTTGGCAGCTACATGGCATTTCTTTGGCTCCATCTACTCTATATATCTGTATTCAGATTTCCTACCCAGCTTTATTCTGCTAAGCCAGTGACCAAAACAGTTTATTCATTAGCCAATAAAAGCAGCACATATACAGAAGGATACCCTATATCAGGGAAGCTTTAAACACTGATGTCTCCTGAGAGAATGTTTGATCACAATAAGGGGATACTGGAATTCCAGTCTCTTCCTTTGTCCCTTTGTTTTCCCAGGTGTAGAGAAGTCATTTTGCTTTGTTACATATTCTGGCCATGATGTATTATCATCCCTAGAGCTGCAGAGATCGCTACAGATCCTGGCAACCCTGTCCTCTTCCTCATATGCCTCTAGTTCATCTTTTTCCTTAAATTTGGACCACTGTCTTCCTCTAGGGCTGTCTTTCTTTCTTTCTTTCTTTCTTTCTTTCTTTCTTTCTTTCTTTCTTTCTTTCTTTCTT